CTTTGAATAAACTAGGAAATATTGAGAATGGACCTGTTTTACTATACATATATGACTCAATATGATGCAAATCAATCATGCAATGTTTAATACTCAATATCAATTGCATTATATTTTCTTGTATGTCAGGTTCTAGACTATTTGCTGGGGCATAACGAGGTTCTTTTCAGGCGTGCTCAATTGAAAGCACTTGTTAGCATTCATGGCAAGGAGGTAAATCAACATCATGCACACTAAAATCTATTGACAACAACAAATAGAATTATAGATAGTCCTATTTATTTATGTTCCTGTATTACCTTGATCAAAGTGTAGGCTGGCAAAGGAGGTGATCTTACCCATGATGAAACAACAATTATCAGTGGTGCTCTGGATTTGACCGAGAAGGTACGTCTATGTAGATAGACTGTAACTCTTCCATTTGTTTGATTGGAAAAAAAGGTAAACATTCAATGTCATCTCTATGTGATCTTACCCATTATTCTGATGTTAATATTCAGTCTGATATGTTGTATGTGCTAGAGATAAGGATGGAGGCTTTGGTTTCTTATAGATAGTACATAATCTATTAATTTAAATCCTAGTACTATTGCTCAAGCTGATAGTACTTGCATTTGCAATCAACACTTAACCATTTGTCTAGAGTGGACTCTAACACACAAGCCTTGGCCACATCCTTATCAACCTCGGCCTTAATCTCCAAATTTTACATGCAAATGTAGCATACTTAGCTAGATCATGAACTGTCAAGTCATGATCATAATTCATGGCCTTGAGTTGTTCTTTTGAGTTTCATGGTGTGATACCATTATATTAGAAAAAGGAAAACTTATTGCCTTCTCTAGCTCTTTGTATAGTCCTAAAGACAAGATGCCATGAAAATCCATGACATCAGTTCTACTTCTTACAGAGATTGAATGCCAGGTTTAGGAACCTAACATTAACCCGAATCCCTAAACACAAAAGGCCAAAAAAATCATGGGTATTTTTAATTGGTATAAGCATTGATTCAAATCAGAATACAAGAAAACACGTTCATCTGTTTATCTTGATGTGCATATTTATCTTGTTTTGTTCGTATTTCATTCTATTAATCATGTTTGCATATGTCCGTGGTTTAATTTGATTGTTTACAGGTTAATGGATAAATTTGTTCTTCGTGGAATTTCTAAGTGGTCACTAAAGTAGATAAATAAGAATCTAAAGTGAATAAAAAGACTTTAAAGTAAACCTATTAGCTCTAGTGGTAGAGCACTATGCAGATGCATAGAGGTGTAGGTTCGATTCCTACATATGTTATCTAAAATAATAAATATAAACACACTAAAGTAAAAGAAAAGTTCTCAAAAGTAAATCAAAATAACTACTTAGTAAATCAAAATAGCTTAAAAACAAAATTTAAAAGTATACATCAGAAACAATATGGACTCTTCAAAAATGAAATTACATAAGGTGAAGTATTTCATAGTAAGAGAAAGAGAAACTCGTTACACATGCTAGGAATAAAGTGATGAACTTTTTTAGATTTAGCGATCAAACACTCTAAAGTTATACAATATACCTCAAAAGTAAACCAAAATAACCAATAAGTAAATCAAATTAGCTTGATGTATACGAACAATTGATTGGCTTTTAATGAGTACTGACACTATGAAACCTTGAAAATAGCCCAATATTTCTGAATTGTTGATTTAAATATCCTTACAAAATGAATCAAGTTATGAGAAAGAAGTATATGAAGCTCAATGTAAAGGTTTAATCAAAAGTAGAGTAAAATATGTCATAAGTAAATCATAATTACTCTAAAGTAAATACTAAAAAGTTAATCAAGATATCATTGAAGTAGAAAAACTAGAAATGTTAATTAATATATCTCTAAAGTAAATCAAAATAACTATTAAAAGAAATCAAACATAGAGCAAAATATGTCAAAAGTAAATCATAATAACTCTAAAATAAATAAACAATGCTAAAAAGTAAATCAAAATATCATTAAAGTAAATCAAATTAGCTCTAAAGTATACGAATAATAAACACAAATCATTTATTAAAAGTATACGAATTACAAAAGTTCAATGTAAAGGGTTTTAAATTAATTGTAAATAAAACGATACCAAAAGTAAACAAAAAAATAATAATTTAAAACCTAATTAAACAAACAACTAAATTTTATTATAAAGCCTAGTCCTTCATATTACACAAATGAACCTACGTGGGATTCGAACCCACATCTTTGTGTAATTACACAATGCTCTACCTGTTGAGCTAGTAGGCTTGTATATTTAACATTGAAAGTAATAAAAAAGAGACAAACAGATTCTCCACATATTCGGAAATTTCTTACACTGAGTTTGTACTAGTTGATGTCATCAGCTATCAATTCCTTCACCTCTCTAGACCAAAGCTAAGTATGCATGTAGCTGACAGTCAGACACCACCAGTATTTTAAATGGAACAGTTTAATCAATCTACTTGAAGAATATGCATACTATACAGAAAAACTTGTCCTCACTTAATGAGTGTTACTTTCCCAGCTAAAATCTAGCATAGTAGTATGATAGATTTGCAAAATCCAAGTAACATAACAAAGAGTCAAAAGTATTCCAGTTGTCACTAACCTTTACAACATTAACAAAATCTTGTTTTTTGTGAAATGCTCCTATCCATTTAGTGTGATCTGCAGTCCTGTTTCAACATAATGAAGAAACCTCAATATTACAACTCATTAGGTGAATTAGATCCACCTTTGTCTCGCGTAACTCCTACAAAATAGAGCAATACGGAGAAAAAATGATATAGAAAACATAGCCTAAACACATATGTGTATCTAATCTAAGGGTTTAATTATCCTTCAGCTAAATCCACATCTAAAAATCTCAAATGCATTTTCAGAGAAATTCCAAGTTGAGTAAACAATTCCAGAGATCAAAACGATAGACTCATCAAAAGGCATCAACTATAGACAACTAACTAACTGCAAGTCTGCAACTGTGATTTCAGAAGAAAAGATAATCATTCATGAACCATGACCCCAGATAATACAAATAGTGTAATCATAATCAATTAGCAACCGTATTAAACTGGGATTCGAACCCACATCTTTTGTGCACTTGCACAATGCTCTACCTATTGAGCTAGTAGGCTAGTGTATATTGTCGAAGTAAAGAAAATTACTCAAAAAGTAAATAAGAAAAATAAAATGATCTCAAAAGTAAATAAAACGATCTCAAAAGTAATTAAAACAATCTCAAAAGTAAATCTAGTTTGAAAGGAGGTATGATCCTAAAACTGGATGCTTGCATAGTTCAAATCCCAAAAGACTACGGAGTATTAGATATAGAAGGATCTGACATACTTGCTTTGGGGTATGAAATATTTCAACAAATGGATATATTCCTTCCTTTGTCGTGCTATACAAAAGCCTGGATACTTAGGACACTCAACCTGAAAATAAACAAAGTATCAAAATTATTAGAGATAAAACTTGACTAAAATATCATTACATAATGCAGCAATCCTGTAGTGGAATGCACAAAATGTATTCAGATCCCTATAATCCCTTTTTATATACTCTATATATCCAATATGCCTGATATACTAGAGCAATGTAGAGAAGATACATGACAAGCAGAATAAACCACATCAACCACCATCGGCTACTGGCAAGCATAACCTCACCAAGGTTAAATTACCTATAACTCATTTGTAAAGCATAATCCCACATCTCTAGAAGGCAGCCCAGAAATACCTTATCAATATGTCAAGGGTCAAAGTGTGGATAGTCTTACTTAAGATATATAAGCAATGTATCATTCATTATGCACATTTCTTAGTATGTTCTATCATTATTAGATTCCATGGTATAGTCTGATTGAAGGTTTGTAGATCCCAAAAGCTACCTACACTAAGCCACTAATAGCCCACTTTAAAAATCCAACACAAGGTAAAACCCCCAAATCCCCAAACCACCTTTATCAATAAACTGAAGCCTTAGTAAAGTGAAATTCTGATAAAAATGCAGAATAACAACAATAATCAATGTTAAGAACGTACAAGCTAACACAATCGGCTTTCTCCAAGACATAACTCATAGTCAAGAATGCAAGCTATACTATCATACATTTCATACAAACAGAGATTAATGTACCAGCGAAATATAAGCCATTTCCACTACATCAATACATTGAACAAGATACTATTGCCTCGCAAATCGCGATTGCGAACTCAAGGCATAAAAGTAAAACAAAAACTCATAAAAGTAAATAAGATTTTATTAAAAGAAATTATCCAAAAGTAAATATTATCCAACCACCCAAAGCATATCCCTGATGATCCAATTCACCATTAAATTATCCCCTGGAAAACAATTAGAAATGCATTGCACTTTTCAAAAACTCAAAAATTATATGTCATTGCACAAAGAATAGCAACAGATCATAAAATTGCAACCAAAACAACACGAAATTATTAATCTGATTATAAATTAAAGAGAAAATACAAATTAATCACAAATACCCAAACAAAAAATTGTGAAAACTCTAGTTTTCGCAATTGAATCACATAATATTAAAAATTCGAATTAAACCAAATTCAAAAACGATAATCAAAATCAAATTAACTTACTTGTTCATAACAAACCAACAACAAAGATCGAATCATATATAAACCAAACGAATAATTATGAGGGAGGAACTAAATTAGGGATCAAAAGTACTGAAAAAAAATTTGAATCTAATATATATATATATATATATATATAAACCATTATTCAGATTAAACAAACGCAAATCGCAAATTAATCAGAAAAAAACCCTAATTCAAAATCGAATAATAAAAACTCAAAATACAAACCCTAATTGAATAAAAAGAACAAAGAAAAAAAAATCAAATTACATACTTGTCTTGAAATCACGAGCAACGAACATTGAAGAACAAATTCAAGAATTGAATTGCAAAGAAAAACTGCAGAAGAGAGAGAAAACGCATGAAGAGAGAGAAAGTGTAAAGAAGAGAGAGAAAGAAAATGAAGCGGCGCATGAGTTAGAACGAAAGTCATTCAATGCGTGAAATTACAAAAATACCCTTAATGAGGCGGGTACAATGTGAGCTGTTAGATTGAGCGCGGAGCGCGATCAACGATTCAGATAAGTAGATATAGAACCAGGTTATAATGAGAACTAACTAAATAATAGGAACTGAGAACGAATTAGGGTCGTTAGATCTACCACATATGCACACTTGATGAGCGGCTCAAATTAAATCAAACCTTAGATTGAATCTACTCCAAGCGTTTTCTCTCTCCTCCAAGCATTTTCTTTCTCCTCCGTGCCTCTGAATTCTCCATTGAAGCAGCTTTCGAATCTACTCCATTGAAGCGGCTTTCAAGCTTTCTCGACTCCAATGAAACAAGTTCTGAGGTAAGATGTTTGTTTTTCTCTTTTATTTTTTTTATTTTTTTTTTTTGTTTTGAATCACAAATTTCAAGTTCAATGGTTTATCGTTAATTTCCTTATTTTGTCAATTTAGGGTTCTTTAAAGTGAAATTCGAACTCTTTTTTATAATTATTGAGGTTATGAATGGTTATAGCGATGATTTTGTAGCTAGAATTCCTAAACACTTAGATCTGAAAGCACTAGCATTCAATTTTAAGTGAATTTTGGCGAGTTATGTATTGAGTGAATTCTTACGGTAAGTAGTTTTTAGCAATTGAATATATATGATTTTTTGAATGTTTTTAGCTTATGATTTTCTAGAAATTTAGAGCTCAATTCTTGGTCATTTGAAACATACAGGGATAAAGTGAAGCTTATGATGCTTAATTGTCCAATATTCTCCACGTTTCTTTGCACATGTGTTTGAAATTTTTTAATACATTTAATTGATCTTGAATAAATAAACTAAATTACTCTTAAAGTAAATTAGATATCCTTAAAAGTAGATTAATTGCTCAGCTCCTAAACTAGATAAAATGTTTGCTAGGAAATTAGTAATTGCAAACGAGAGTCTCAGTTTGAGTGCATTTAACTGAGTTTCTTAGTGACTAGCCTAATTATGGTTTGTTCAACCTCTTAATGAAACATTATTAAAAAGAATTCAGGCAGCTACTAATTTGTAAACATAAAGGCACTGTTATGAGATATAGGAGTTGGTTTACTGTTAGTTTCTAATGGATGCCTTGTATCATCATTTGTAGTGCACTTCTAGTAGATAGCAGCTAATATAAAGGGTACCTGGTTATGCCAAAATAAGGTTGTATTGAGCAAAATACCCCTGATTATGTCTCAATTGCAATTGGTTTTGTAGAATTCTATTGGAGAATTATATAATGTAATTAATTTGATACTTCTGTATTTTGCTTGTGTATGAGCTGCTAGGTTTCCTTAAGCTTAGGCTTGGTTTTAAGCATCATATATACTAATAGTGCTAATTTTTTCTCTTGTGATAGCCACTAGTATGTTCCCTAATGCTCCTTTTGTTAAACTCTTAATGGCCACCTAAGCCTGTAATATATTTGTAATAGACTAAGGTTGATTTCACTCAATAATGCTCATTATTAAGAGAAGGACTACTTCTTCATTAACTGAACGATTAAGGGATACAAGTAGTAGCTTGAGGCTACAAATCTCCTAGCAACTTGAGGTTGCAACTCTCCAAGTTTTCCTTACCAATGTTCTGCCTCATCTCCCACTAACACTGCTCATACTACTTATACTAAGATGGTCATAGATGACCTTAAGGCTTAACATGTGAACTTAGCTAATTTAGACAAACATAAATAAACATCATATGATTAAGGTTGCTTCTTTTCCTACTCTTCTTCTTAATTGATTTTGTTTTCTACCTAATTGGAGTCTAGAGGCCTTGAAATGCTCCCTGCTACTGCTGCCCTTTGCTTTTGCTCTTGTTGCTTGTTGATTGTGGCTGACCCGTATTACCAAACTAACCCCCTCTAAAGCCGGTCTATTACAATATTTTTGTCATATTTGTGGTAATCAACTCTTCTTGCGTATTAATTCTGATGGGAGGTGCTTTTCTGTCTGTGATAATCTTCTACTTTATCAACAATTTTTCATATGATCATAACTCTACTTTATTAACATTGATCTCATGATAAGATATAAATCAACTGTCTCTAAAAGTTAATAAAAAAGAATATAAAGTTAATAAAAGAAACCAAAAAGTAAACCTATTAGCTCAAGTGGTAGAGCATTATGCGGATGCATAGAGGTATAGGTTCGATTCCTACATAAGTTCTCTAGAAATACATATAGAAACACTCTAAAGTTATTCATAATAGCTCAAAAGTAAATCAAAATAACTAAAAGTTAAATCACATTAGCTCTTAAGTATACGAACAATAAATTAGCTTGAATAATGACTACGGAAACTTTGTTATATCACAAAAACTGTACTCCGAGTCATTGACTTTCATATCCTTACAAGATGAGTCAAGTTATCAGAAACAAATATATTGAATTCAATATAGAAGTTTTCAAATTTAAAGTAAATAAAACAATATTGTAAGTAAATAAGAAAAATAAAAAGATTTTTAGTGAAACATACAAATAAAGTAAACTTTAACGCAAAGTCTAATCTTTAGAGTACACAAATGAACCTACATGGTATTTGAAACCACATCTTTTGTGCAATTGCACAATGCTCTTCCTATTGAGCTAGTAGCCTAGTATATATTAAACATTCAAAGTAAAGTAAAAGTAAATAAAAAAAATTGTAAAAGTAAATAAAATTATCACATAAGTAAATAAAAAATTTATACAAACTTGGATTTTGTCACTTTAATTGATGTACAAACACTAACATATATATAAACTTGGATATTTATATTAACATAGGGTTGTAATGTTACGAAATTCATCCAAAAATATAATACAACTATACAAGGTTACATAGTTTATTCACATAAATGCAGAGTAACATTTACAGCATGAAGTGGGTAAGCTAAAGTAGTATAGCAGCAGTAGGCAGCAGAGCAAAAGCAGCACAACAACAAGCCATGGTAAGACAATAGCTGCGGCAGCAGCCTTGGCAAGGCAACAACACTCAACCACTTCCTTGATTCAAAACTCCCCCCGCAACTTCCTTACATACACCTCAATCCCCTTCAATTGCATTATCATCATCCTTCACCACAACAAAAGGCAACGTTAACCAACTCTTCCATGCTCAATTCTCTTAACTAAATTAATATCTTAAGTTCAAACAAAATTCTATATTGTATAATTACTGGGGTTTCAGGTCATTTCTTGCTACTCACATAGCTGAGCTAATAAAAAAATCTCAATAGTAAATAAAAAATTCTCAAAAGTAAACAATAAAATCTCAAAAGTAAATATATTGAGTTAGTAGGCTAATTCTAGTACATTAAACATTTAAAGTAAGGAAAAATTACTCAAAGTAAACCAAATTATATCAAAAGTAATAAATAAAAAAATATACAGAATATATGCCCAAATCCCAGTTAAAGTGCAGCAACTACCACTCCAAATAAATCTAAGCAAAGCAGATTGATCTGAACAATGCAGAGCTAAGGTTAAATTATGCCCTTGAGTGTGGGCTTAAAAATGGTGGAGTAGGTGTCATTGTTGACAAGCTTAGGGGTTGTAAGAAGCTGACTTGCCCTTGAATGTTAGTATGAAAACTAGAATAGCATATAATCTTAGGCCTCTAAAGTACCGACTTTAAAGAATCAACTAAGCAACTTCTCTAAAGGCCCACAACTTGTTGCTTATCTATTAATTTAAGTTTCCCTCGCCTTTATTTTCTCGGTCCTTTTAGTGTGAATCTTCTCTTACAATTGACATGCCCACGACTATATATTCTTTAATTCTCTTAGAATAGTAAACTCCAAATGATCCACAGACATACGGTTGACGTGCAATACTTGCTCAACTCACTTTTGATTACTCTATAACCTTTGACACATGAAGATAAAGAGGCAAGTAAAGACCATAGTTGAGACTATGACTCGGTTCTTGAAGGCTTACACATGGAAACTACCTCCAAGGGCTCTGTTGTTATCAGTATACTTGTAGAATCATAAGAACTATACCATATTCTCAATCAAACAATATGTCCACATTACTAACCTATTCAACTCTCTAATTTACTCAGCAATAGTCAGTGACACAACACCACACCCCCTGACCACAAATAGCCACACCACTAACACAACGCCAAAGCTGCCATAATACCCTTACTGCTACTACCAAAAACCAATCTCACAGCAACTCTTCACGCAACCATTAACATTAACACCACACAACCAAATACCAAACTTAATTATTACCATCAACTTAAAAGTAAATAATTTAAGTTCATAAGTAAATAGTATAATCTCAAAAGTAAATTACATAAGCTCAAAAGTGTCCGAATTTAGTTATCACATACCCTAATCAAAATAACATCAACATACCGCTCTGAAATTATACAAAAAGTAATTAAAACCCATACGTATTTCAATTTTACCATAATTATTTCGTGAAATTGAATATTAAAAACAACTAATAAAATTTCTAGACTGGAACCCAAATAAACTGTAGGGAGATCATCATATATTACCTTAACAAAAAAAAAAACAATATATATTACATTAGATCGTAAGAATCATACAATTAAAACTTTAACACAATACCCTAATTCAATCAATTTAATAAAAAAAACCACAATAGAACATATTAAAAAATAAATAAAAAACGATTTAGAATTAAAAAATTTCAACCAGAAATCCAAAAAAGAAAATCCACAATTCGAACATATTAAATTCAGTAAACTCAATTGAAATCTCAAGAAATTCAATAATCAAAGTTGTAAAAAAATTACGAATTTACCTTAAATGTATATCGTTGCGTTGGAGAAAAGTTCGCCACAAAGAGGGGTAAAACTTCAATTAAAGCAAATGCAATAATCAAATTCACAGTAATCAAACAGAAAATAGAAAAAAATCTTCAAATTTTCGACCATTTAATCTGATAATAAAATGCAAACACAAGTTAATCAAACATAAAATAGCTAAAAACCCTAGATTCAAACTCGAATTAATCGAAACCAAATTCAGCAAACTTTAACTGAATCGAGCAAATTAAACAAACTAGTAATCAAAATTTAAATACCTTAACAGGAAAATGCGAGAAATTGATGAACAAAACGGAAGAAATCGAAGAGCGTATCAAAGAAAATCGCTTCACATAGAGTTTGGAAGAAGAGAGGGAATCTAAAGAAAATAAGGATAGAGAAAAAAAAAGAAACTGAGAAAATCTTGGGTAGTCATTCAAAGTGAAGTATTACGATATATATAGGGCTAATTCAATTTATAATTAGAGATCACCGCGCATGGCACGGGATCTAACCTAGTAAATTAATTAAAGCAAATGCAAAATACTGGAAAACTATAGGCGCATAGGAACTATTGATTTGCTAACATATAGGATGGAAAATTTGATAATAAGTGGAACTTTATCAAAGGTGTGTGGGGCTTGAAAATGCCAATTGGGATTCAAAACCAACGGGACTTTGAGCTAAAATAACGGGGAGTGATTTTTGAAGCGGGAAACTAAAAATTACCCACTCCCCACAAAATTTACTTTTTGCATAATTGTATTAAAAAAATTGAGGAAGACTGAGCACTCCACTTCAGCGGCTTCAATGGTGAGTTCCACCATGAACACCTAAGCTCAAACGATTCTTATAGCTAGCTATAGCCAAAATTGCAGTTATTTTGTGAATTCGAACTACATCTTGAAAATGCGAAATCGTTTAGTTGATAAATTGGGAGTTGACTTGGCGGAAGCATTGCAGGAAGAAGAAGGCCATGGTTGCACAAGGAGGGAGTTGCGGTTTGATAGTGACAATGTAAGCGTTTGAAACCCTATAGGTCAATTTGTTGTGCATGTGGTATTTTTTTTTTGCTTAGCAATTAGTAATGCATGAATTATGGGAATTAACACAGTTCAATTGAATTAGTTGAATAGTTAGGGTTTTTTTGGGGTATTTCAAATTACATATTTGTTGTTGATAGTGAATGTTACATTGCTTAAATTACTTGGCATATTGTGTAAATGTAAGTCATTTTTTGGAGAAATTGATATTTGTAATGTTAGATTGTTGATTGTAACCCGATTAGTTGATTGTAACCCGATTAAATTAGTGACAATTGTTAGATTCTTACTACGTATTTATCACAAGAATGAGGAGTGTGTACATTTGAGGTTTGAGGTTTTGGAGAGCCCTTTTAAAAATCTTACAGGACTATTTGCCCACACAAGTTAAGTTTAATTGCTCTGTTATAAGAATTTAATTAGTTTTCAATCTTTTAGTTGTGCCACTGATTGTAATGTGAAATGCTTTTTTGGAAATTTGGGATTGGTCAAAGCATTCTAATTCAGAAAACTACATCTAAAAAGCTTGAATTGCATTAAATGAGTAGCTGAAATTGGGGATCTTACTAATGCAACCTTTGGTGGAGTCAGAATCTAAAATGGATTGAAGTAGCTTGTTGCCAACCTAGTAGCATTATTGCCCCCCCCCCCTATTTCTTTTGCGGTGCACTTGAGAGCACTGCCCTCCCTATGAATCTTGTTACTGTGATTATTGACCTAGGCATGCTACTTGTTTGATTTTATGATGTTATATATATTCCCAAATTGTTTGGATTGTCGAACTCTTGGATCATTTCTATGTGGCTATGTATTCTTAATGTACGGAAATGTTATGATTATGTGATATTTCCCAATTAAAATCACAGCATGTGTCATGTAATCTATGAGTTTAAAACTAAGAAGAATAAAATTACTGACTCTAGTCTTTCACTTCCTGCAATTGTTATGAAACTGTTGTGATCTTATCTTCAAATCGTATCCTAGTTTGTTTTTATTGTTGTTATTATAGAAATGACTTGCTATGGAGAAATTGATTTGTATAATGTTGATTTTGTTCTTAGTTACTTGTGGTGGTGTTGTGTATATGATTGTTTTCTGTGTGTCATTGTTTTTGGGGGGCGCTGGTGGTGATGATAATGATGATGTGTGTGGCAATGTTGGGGTATTTCAGAGTTAGAATGGGTATGGAGAAGGGGATGAGGAGGAAATTGAAGGGGGATTAGAAGATGATAGAGAGGAATGGGGGTCTAATACCGAGGGAGAGGAAGGGGGTCTGATAGTGAAGGAGATGAAGGGGGCAGAGTAGAAGAGGAGGAAGGAGTTGAAGATGGAGGTGCAGGGGCAGGAAGTACTACTTTCATAACTCCCAAGAAGAACACCGTAATGGTTAGCACAGTATTTGGTGTGGAAGAGGAAATACCAGCCCCGAGTTTGGGTATGGTATTTGGTAGTTGGGATGAGGTTGATAGTTATTTTTGGAGTTATGCTAGGCAAAAGGGGTTTGGTATAGTGAGGGCTGCTGCTGAGTTTGCCAAGGTGAAGAGTAAATTGGGGGATGGAACGTATTGTAAGCAGAAAAGGAATGCTAAGTGGACTTGCAACTGCTACGGAAGACCCTCCAGGAAGCGTAAAGTTGTACTTAAGGAAGGGTTGTTGCAAGATGAGGAAATAGTTATGAAACGGAAGACGAAAAAGTGTGGGTGTGAGGTTTAGTTGTATGCTAGTGTGGATGAGGAAGGGAATTGGGTTGTTCGTAGGTTACACTTGAAGCACAAAGGTCACTTAGTTACACCGGGAAAGGCAAAGGATGTAACAATGTTCAGGATGCATGAGTTGGTGTCAAAAAATGGACACTTGGTGAACCGGGTGTGTAATACAAAGAAGTCTAGGGTAAAGGTATCGCAGATGTATAGTTATTTTGTGAGGGAGAAGAACGGGGTGGATGAGATGTCATTTACGCAGAAAGACCTGGAGAATGCAGTGGCTAGGAAACAAAGACTGGAGCTAACTGAGGGTGATGCGAATAGAATGATAGAGTACTTCAACAAAATGAGTTTAGACAATCAAAAAATTTTCCATCTTTGTAGGTTTGGGAAAGATGGTGCATTACAAGATGTTGTTTGGGTAGATGCAAGGAGTAGAGCTGCGTATGAAGAGTTTGGAGATGTTGTCTATTTTGACAGTACATGCTTAACGAACAAATTTCACCTTCCCTTTGCTTTGTTTGTCGGTGTGAATCACCACGGACAGAGTATACTGTTTGGATGTGCATTGATATCTCGGGAGATGGTAGAGACCTACGAGTGGGTGTTAAGGACAATGCTACATTGCATGGGAAGAAAAGCTCCTGCCTCGATCCTCACGGATCAAGATCTGGCTATTAGGAAAGCTGTGAATATAACCATGAGTGACACTTGTCATAGGTGGTGCATTTGGCAAGCATGAGCGATATGATGCTGTGAAGGATGAGTTTGAGAATATCATATATGGTAGTTTAGATGAAGAAGAATTTGTAGCTCGTTGGATGGATGTAGTGGAATATTATGAACTACAAGAAAACAGTTGGCTGGAAGGTAAGGTTAATCTGTTTTATGTGACTTGTTTGTTTTTATTGCTGTAGGTATATGGTTGTTGGTTGCTGTAGGTGATCTATCCTTAAAGCTTGGTTACTGCACTTGCGTTTTGGGTGTGTAGTCCATGTCATGATATGCATGAAGCACTGAAACAGGGACTTTAATCTAGTGTGCGAGCAGCATGGTTGAAGAAATTTTGGTGTTGTGGTGTTGACTGCATTTGTTTTATTATGTACCACTGTATGTACTGGTTGCACTTTAATACATCAAGTGGCATTTATTTTGTACCACTAAGGTTGCAGATGCTTTTTTCAATTATGAGCATTTCGTTTGAAAGCTATTGATTTCCTTTTTGGATATGCTACATGCAGGTCTATTTGAGGAAAGGCATATGTGGATCCCAGCCTATTTGAAACATTTGTTCTGGGCTGTGATGAAAACAACACAACGTTCGGAAAACTTCAATCATTTTTTCAAAGGTTATGTTGACAAGAACACAACCTTGTCTGAGTTTGTGCTTCGCTACTGTGATGCTATGACCATAAGGGCTGAGGCCGAAAGAGTTGCTGACTCCAACACGATCCTCTATGTGAGGCATTTAAAGACGGATTTCCCTACGGAGGAAGTGTTTCAGAAGTGATATACAGACGCGAAATTCAAAGAAGTTCAGCGGGAGTGCACCAAGGTGTTGTATGTGCGTTGTCTAGATCAAATTGAAATTGGAGACAGTGTGATTAAGCCAAAATATGCAAAGAAAGAGTCTGTGACAAAGGTTCGGAGATGTTATAGGCTTTTGTTTGATAGATCCACATATGAAGCAACTTGTGACTGTAAACACTTTGAGTGTCATGGAATCATTTGTCGACATATGATTATGGCCTACGACCTTAGTGGTGTTGGAATTGTTCCTGAGAAATACATTCTTCGTCGTTGGAGAGAGGATGTGCAACGGAAACACACGTGTAAAAGTAGCTTATCATGATCCACTTAAAACTGAAGAGATGAGGCAATATCACAAACTTATGGGGACTTATGAACCAATTTGCACGAAGGCATCTGCATGTATTGAGGCCGTGTCAGAGATGCTGCAACTCATGGACCTGAGAGTCGATGAAGTGTTGGCAATGGTTGCCGAAAAGCAGGAAGAGGCAGCTAAGGCCAATGCAGATGATGTTCCAGATGAAGGTGGTCAATGTGTTGTTGGGACTCCTTCTTCTGTGGAGCAGAACAAGGTACCTGAACCCGCAACCACGCCACTGACAATTGGTTCCGGTCTGCCAAACTCCAGTAAGTGGTTTCCAAGGCATTTGTGAAGCATCTGCCTCGGGGAGGATTAAAGATCCACCATTACCGAAGAAGGAAACCGTACTACAAATTCAAGGTACCCATCATGCATAGAAAAAAAAGGCAAAGAAAAAGCTGCTAGGGCTAAAAAATGCTGCCAAAAAGCAAGCTACCCAAACCCAAACCAGTGTATCGTTGTCAACAAATGAATACATGCAGTCGGTTGGAGGTATACAAATGAGGCATTTGGATGGTTTTGTCGGTTACTTTACTGCTGTTAGGGGTAGAAACTCTGGTGGGGGGTGTTAGCTAGTCTACTTGGTTTGACTCCTGGTATAGGGAGGTCCAATTCGAATTAGAGGGTATGTAAGCTGTATCCATTACCCCAGTGGTACATATAGAACACTCATTAATGTACCATTTGTTGTGATAAAGCAGCACTGCTTGCTAGTGACAATAACAATGCACTAAATTATTTGACATTTGTAGAAAGGAATGTACTGTTTTCTATTAACTTGAATAGTGGTTAGATGACTTGTGTAGTTACCTATTGTCTATTTAATGGTAGAACATATGTGATTTCAAAGTCAGCATGGAACAACGGACTTAATTCCAACTTAATGGCAGAACATGACATTTGAAATGGTACATTTAAAGAGATTTTAATGTGCCATTGGAATTAAAACAGTACATACACATGAATAAAACTACATGGGAAACGAACATTACTAAGCAAATGCAAGAACTAGCAGGAATCAATCGTCATCCAACCCAAAGTCATGGTATCCTTCCCATGGATCCATGTATGGGTCATTTTAATCAGGCGCATGTCCGTCCCAAAACTCTCCGGAATCCGGATTAACCTTGTTATCGTACCTTTTCTTGGTCGCATTCAACCTATTGACATACCACTGTGGGTAGTCGTCGTAGTCAAAAGGCTCCCTAGTAATGAGATTCAAGTGTTGCATCTCATCGTACCCATTTTCAGCCAACATCTTGCTCCTAAAATACATGCATTGCTCCTCGCTCGAATGGATCTAATCATAAGGATCCTCGTGAGAGAAATTCATCCACTCTACATTGACATGAACCACGCCTCTGTCATAGTCGGACGTGAAATCATGGCCGAGTAGTAGAAGACAAAATTTCTCACCTTCCTTACAATGGTTGTTGAGCATGTTCTCCACATTTGCAGCCCAATCATAGTGGCACATAAAGAGCTCCCAAAACTGAAGCCAATGCCTGCAGTACCACGAAGATCGCAAGCAATCTATCATTGTTTCATAGAATTCTCGGAGATTAACACTAATCGTAATCTTGTGAGCATCCACAAGGTAGTGCATGAAACAATATGCCTCTTTGCAAAAGTCTCCGGGACCTCCTATTTTAAACGGCGTAAGGAATGGGTACTTGGGGTGGAAATCAATCCCTGTAATGGGATTTTGAAGCCCACCGCGAGCTATCGTTGCCGATTGGTACGATAACATAATCTCTTTACCTCTTTTAGGGAGGTAAAAGTCTCGAACGACACCGTTTGCATCATGATGACCATTTTTTTCATATACTCCAAACGCTTCATAAGTACCCTTGGGGTCTTACAAAGAGCCACTTTCTTTTCATCATGCAATCGGTTGGAGGCAAACACTCTCTTGCTCCCATTTCTCCCCATTTTTTTTTCCTTTTTCTCTTTAAAACTTTTCTATTGTATGGACTGACTTAGAAATGTATGTATGAAAGTAGATAGTCCTCTGCCAACGTTTAATAGTACAAAAGCCTCATTAAATTACCCCCCCCCCCCAACTACTTTGTGAAATTAAACAATTTATATAGTTCCTACCGGAAGATTATTAAATGTGCCAATAGTATAGATAAAGAATATAATGGTACATATAATGCTATTTTCGTATACAATATTGTACCACTTACTTCCACCCACTGACCTCGCACAAAAATAGTTCTTTTTTTTTGCAGTAGTGTAATTCTAAAATAGCTAGTTGGAAAATAACTGCAAAAAAATAACTCCCCTTACTGCCGTAATTATAATGTTAAAGTCAAAGGGTTGAAATATTTGGAGTAGATTTGATACATAATTTTGCAGTGGTACTTTAAAATCCCTTTGGTCTATAAATTGTGTAACATGGTACATTTGCATACATATATTATACTAATAGTGGGTAGTTGTGTTTGTTATGACAAGACAGTTCTGTCCCCTAGTGCTGATAGCTGAATCTCCCTCCCTCCCACCTACGATGGGTTGGGTAAAAAAAATGCATACAATTCAATGGTGATTAGGCCACGGTAAATCCAGGCACACCGCAATTTTATTAGGGTACCACTAAAAAGCACACATCTCTAGGGTACCACTTGAGGCATTACTGTACCACTTCTTTGTTTAAGGTATAAATAATATGACTAAAGGTACCACCTAATTGCAAATTGTAATAATTCCTTGCCATACGGGTAGTGACTAATTGTGAAAAAATATATGAAATTCAATTGAAACTTTATAAATTGTATTGTTTGGAGGCTTATAAAGTCGATATAATGGCCTTACTAGTCAATGGTGACGTGATTTAGGACGGGGTTACATGTACTTTAAATACAAACACATACTATTGGATTCATTAGCTTATTCCTGTATTCAGTTAGTTTGTAACAAAAGATACACTTCCATATACCCTTGCTTAGATAGATAATCAGTTACTATTGACTCAGTGCTCATCATTTATTGGAATCCAATTTTTAGTGCTTTAATTTACAAACCTATTCATAAACATAAGTTTAGGGATAATCAGGGCTCTTAATAAAACCCTAAACATGTTTTTTACACCCTAATCTTAATGACCCTAACCAAAGGGACTTTCACAGTGGTACTCTTACTGTTACATATTGTACCATTTAACATGATATAGTATACTACTGAGTCATTTGAAGTTCATATTTGTAGTGAGACATTTTAAGTTCATATTTGTAGTGAGACATTTTAAGTTCATATTTATACCAATATTATATTTATGGCATAATGACTTACGTATTGTATACTATTGGTACATATAGGTCCTACTATACGTGCCTTAGTGAACATAAACAGTCAAAATTCAGCTCGTTAAAAATTAAGGGTCCAAGTAAAAATCAAGCGCGAAAGAATAACAACTTTCCCGATCTGTGTTGTAATTATTTACCCCTACATAAACTTCTTCCTTCTACCCATCACCATTGGTAAATCCCTTATTCACTTGACTCTACTATTCTAGTTCTGTCCATTCACCATCTTACTTGAGAAACTTGTACTCCACAAACTATGCCAACCATGTCATCAGCCTCTTCGAGGAGTCGGGTAATTCGCCGACCGTGTGCATTTGCTGACATCTCATGGATTTCCGCAAAAATTTGCAACTGCAACGGGGAAGATGCTACCCTCGTCGAATTTCGCATCTCGATGTCCGAAATGAATTCGAAAAGGCCTTACTATAAATGTCGCCACTGCGGTTACTGGGAATGGGTGGTGGATTCCAACCTTGTCAAGGACGGACCACCTAACAACATCGGTGGCGTAGTTCGTAGGGTCGAGGAGTTGGAGCAACAAAACATAAACATCGTCAATATTAGGATTACAATTTTATTAATTGTAGTGTTATTGTATTTCAAATCGTAATTCAAGTAATGTGGCTAGTATGGTAACGCAACTGATGTACTTAGCTAGGATTAGAAATTAATGTTATGAAAGGTGTCAACTATTTAAGAAGCAAGTACTCTATTTAATGTTATGAAAATAAAAGTCTTTCTCAAAGTAGTCTTTTATGAAAGGTGTCAGCTATGTAAGAAGTAAGTTACTTATTAGATCATAACTTATCTACCGATTTTTTCCGTTTGCTATCCCTATTAACGGACTGTATTATCATGTATTTTTAATCAATTATCGAAGTAAAATTTAACACATTAATCACATGTATTTTAGTCACATTATTTACTAACGAAGTAAAATAAAAACATATGAATGTGCAATGGTACATTATTTACTAATGTATATGCCACCTCAAAGGTTGGTACATTGAACGGTAATTTATTTATGATACGTAAATTAGCGCGAAGAAAGAGGGAGACTCAAAGAGAGAGTTGAAGGTTTACGTGTGACGTCATCCCATGATCAATGTAAAATAACTTCCTCCCCCCACTAATTATTCAACTTCCCTCCCATTATATGTACCTATCTCCTATTTCTTTCTCATTTAACGATTGTTTTCTTCGTCGTTGTTCTTCTCAAATCCCACAAATATCAATTTGAGATCTTCCATATTTTTTTATTTGTTTAATACCAAAAATGGTGAAACCCAACAAAGGTAAGCAGCCAATGGAACAAGCCAAAACATATCAACCCAAATACACAGAGCTAGAATACCTTAAGTTGAAGGAGGAGATGTTAACAGAGCAATTAAAAAACCACCAGTTCATATGCAGCATCTTAAAGGTTCAGTTAAATGAGGTGTCTAAGGACATTGCTAACATCAACAAGCAAAAGGCACAAACCAATGTAGCATAGAACACCAGTGTCAACAAAAGTCCGGTGAGGTTGGATGCTAGGAACAGACCCACCAAGGGAGCAAAGTCGGCGGCAATGAAGAGGGTGCCTGGTGCTGGTGGTGCAGCAGGGCAGGGAACAGTTGGTCATGGTTCTGGAGTAGAGGCCACTGGTGGTGGACAAGGAGCGATAGACGCTGGTGCAGCAAATGTGCAGGGTGGGGGAAGAGTGTAACCGCCGATGCAGGTCTCGGCACTAGAGAGGACCAGGCGCAAGGGGAGACAAAGAAGGCAGAGGAGTCCCGACAGCCCCAAGGACACCGTTCCCTACGCTTCGTACCATGTCCGTGATCGTTGGTCTCTAGAGGTTTCCGGCCTGGTGATTATGGGCACTCAACTTCAACAATTGAAAAACTCAACTGATGGGGGGGGGGGGGGGGTAATAATCTATGCCAATTACATTTTGTATTTTAACTATCAAGAAAAGGTTGTCTCTTTTTATTAAATTGGCCTAGATTTGATTTGCAGTTAATTAGGGGTTAGTTTGTTTTCCTATTACTAGTTTAATCAATGCTTTAGTATTTGTTTAATTTTTGGGGGTTTGTTTGTTTTCCTATTTTAACATTTAACTAGTTTAATCAATGTTGTAGTGTTTGTTTAATTTTTGCTTTTACCTTTGACATTGTAATCATCATGGTTTCCTATGGTTGTGTGTGTGTTTTTATTTTAACAAATGCTTGTTTTACTTATTTTATATCAGTTTTATACTTAGTTTTTTATTTTTGGCAATTACATTAGGTTATCTGTACCACCTGGAACAAAAACCATTAATACTATACTACTGAAATAAGTAGTGGTACCTATTGCATATTAATTTGTACTTGTTACACTAATTGGTAAAAGGGTAAGTTACACCGGACATTTTCTATAAAAATGGTACATGTGACTTTTCCAAAATGTACCACCAGATGAACTCCCTCCCCAACAACCATTATTACTGTA